GTTGGACACCTTACTACTCCCTATACCACACCATGGCTGGAGTGCAATGTGTTCCAGCAAAAATACTGCACATCTTTATCAAATTTGGTGCATCCTGCTAGTTTGGTACACAGCCTGTGTAGATTCAATAATATTTTTAATTCAAATAATGTATGATTTCCTTCCGCTCGAATCAAGGGGGTAATGTCGGCGTATATACATTTTTTGGGGGGTAAAAGGTAAAAAAGTTCCCAGACCCCTGATTTAGAATTTGTATAAAGCTATTGAACTAATACATAAAAGCAAATGTTCAAAAAGCTTCACATATATTCTTCGTAGTGGTCTCTGTGAATGCACAAAAATGAGTTAATCCTGCGCCTGTGCAGGACGTTCAGAAGATTCTAGAGCTTTAGAAAAAAGCATCAATTAAGCTTCCCCCCCCCCCGGGTATATAGGCTCCGCCTCCTCCAACTTCCTTTCAGTTCCTCTTTTTCTGCCATTGGAAGAGAAGAGCAATTATCTCTTAAGTATTCCAGCTTAGCTAGTCTTTTATTGTCTCCCTTTTTACTTTATTGTTGTTTTATTCGACAGAACCTGCCTCTGTTGCTGTATTTAAACTAGAATGGTATTGAGAGGACAGTGGCCTGTCTGAGGTCATTCCAGTTGATGTGGAGCTTGAACTTGCACTTTTGACCACCATTGCCACAGTAACACTGAATGGCTCATGTAAGGGAACAGTAAGACGCATTGATGCCAAAGAGCCTTTACTGATTTTTTTCTGTTCTTAAGCTGTACTGATGTGCACACCTTAAGAACAGGTATACAGGAGAAAGGAAAAGTAAGATATAAGTTCAGTAGTTTTCCCTCCTTTGTGGTGAAATACATTAACCCATGTGTCTTTTTGAACCTAAGATGGTCAAATTACAGTACTGTTTAAATGAGCAGCATGGGGAACTGCTCTTCAGACCTTTTCCTCCACGGCTAAGTAGGTCTAGATGTAACTATCTCATAGTTTGAGCAAAGCTAGAATGGTAATTTGGAGCTTCATTTCTCACATTGCACAAGAGTTCAGACTTGCTTTTAATTTTATTCTTTCATTAGGAGGCCCTTCCTTTAACTTCAGATTTTGGGGAGGGGAGGAGGTTACTCAGAATTGATGGACAGACTAAGAGTAAGCACTAGAACTGCCACTAAAAGCCTCTTCTACTTTGTATCTTGCATTTCACCAGTCCCAGTTTGATATTACCACTAAAAGGCTTAGTGGGACTTGTAAACACTTATTAATATATGTGAGTAATTGATATATTATTACAGTATTAGCCTGTGATTATTAGTCTTCCTCAAAAGAAATAGTTGCTTATAGTGTGTGCTACTTTATTCAGGTTTAACATAAGTGAAATAACAAGTTTTTCAATAGGAAAGCAAAAGAGGGACAGATAAATCCCAGTAGAACAGTGTATGCAGATCCTTCAGGAGTATGTGAATGGTACAGTTACCATGGGAGCAGAGTTTGGTGCAGCTTAGGCTGATGATCTGCTGTTTTCTCACTTCCGATCTAATTAGTGTTTTTTATTTCACGTTTCCCAACCGCAGAGGAAATGGCTGCAAATAAACAGTTGCCTAGCTGTTTTCAGTGGAAGAGCCTAGATTTCCTTAGAGCTTGAAAGAATCACTTTGTTCATCTCAATTGAAACAGAAGAGGCTGGCTTTAGATGAGTAGAAGTTTACAAAAGTTTATTTGACAGATGTCTGGATTTAGTCCTATCAAGTGGAATCTGCAGTTACATGCTTTTTCTGGTTCAATTATCAGCCCATCTAACAAATAAAAGATAAGGGTAAGGAAATCCACAACTTTTTCCCCCACATGTCATTAAATATATTCATATATATAACCATAATATATTAGTATGCATTGTAAAGAAACATTGCCCCAAAACTATATGCAATGGTCGTAAGTAAACATTTACAATTCATGATATTAACAAGAATCACCAGAGCACAGGGTCTTTCCTTCCCTGTGTAATGGATAAAAAGTGACAACAAGTGAAGAAACATACAAGTGGACCAGGTAAAACAAACAGAAAAATTGGGAAGGAAATCATTGTTCAGTGCTCTTTGTGAGTAACAATCGTTTTGGTACTTCAGTTGCATCTCAGAATGTTTTCTGTCACTCTTTTCCTCTCTTAATACAGAGCTTGGGATACTTCTTCAGAGGACCTAAACCTTTTACATTACATACGTAGACTTGACAGCCTGCTACTGCGTGATACTTCTGGAAAAGTTCAAGGCACCAATTTGTGTTGCTTCAGATTCTTTCTTGTATTTGGTGGTGGCATTGCTTGTATTGGGACCCAGTACCATTTCCATGGATTTCTATTGTGCACTGCACTAAATTTCTTTATGGAAACTACCATTTGCTTCATAGATCATCTTTGCCAGTACTGTACTGTGATCTGACTATCCTGCCCCATTCTTAACCTCTTAAGCATCTTGCCTAGTTCTAGCTTCATAAAGACTTACTGATCTCCTTCCATGTGCAAGATGGTGTAATTATTGTAGGCTTCCAAATAAAAATGCCAGCCCTAAATTGATTCTGGCCATCTAGTACCTCCAAAGCACATTTGATCATGCTGCAAGATCTATAGCTCTACCAATAAATAGTCCAAAATATGTAAATGTTGTGTTGGGGTATTTTTGTTATACAGGAGGAAACGTTTGGGGAAATAGTCCTCCAAACATGTAACTTTAAGCTTTTCTGCTTAGCTGATTTGAATCAAAAGCCGCCCATGCAATACATAATTGTTAAAATGTAGGAGTGCAAAATATGTCCTTAAATCTGTCAAGATAGATGCTGTTTTGTGAAGAAAAAAGGTTTCTCACTTATATGGAATGTATGAGGACTGTTTTTTAAAAAAATCTAATCTAATATTGTAGCTTGAATAAATGTACAATTTTCAAGTTCTAGACTATTTTATATATTGTAGTGCCCTGTCATCAGTCTTCTTAGTTTCCTTTGTATTTTGTCTTGCATTTGCTGTCAGGCATTGTCATCACTTTTGAGTTTTCCAGATCCCCAGTATCCATTATGCAAGGTGAGGCCATTTCACATCTTTCTTCAAGGGGATTGCACGCTATGAGAGTATCTGTTCTGTAAACATTGGCTTTCAGGATTAAATAGTGGTTTTGACTACTTATTTCAAACATAGAGTTCCCTTGGAATGCTCGCACAGGACTCCGCTGCTGTGTATATTCAGGATGCTGCAGTTGAGTGGGGAAAGGTACTGCCAAAGCAAGCATCTTTCCACCAGGAACTGCAGTGAGAATACTTTTTTATGTTATATATTGTATTAGAAATCTAGAGCAAAGATGTTTGTGTTGAGAATAGTGCACTAATATGGCTGAGCATAATTTCCATGTTTTTTTCCCCTATTTGTGTTGAGATTTCCTCCAACAAAAGAAAACGTTTTGTTAGATTCTTTGTTAGACTCTTAAGTACATAACATGAAAATGGAACTCAAATCTTTTGGACTTTGGGAATAAAGATTCCCAAGAATTCTGTGTCTGTCAAACTGACAGAACTGTAGGCAAAGTATTTTATATACCCTTTGTTTAAGCCATGTTCCCCCAGGCCACATAGTACAAAACAGCACCCAACACAATTGTTTATGACTAGCCAATCTTTGCTGTGATTTGATAGAAAGTAACAGTGGCTGGCCTACATTTTTGGGGTCCTGAGGCTTGAACTTGCAACCAGCAGTGAAGGCTGGGTAACCACTGTTTATCTTCTTCAGTGGGGGTTATTCCATGACAGTTTTTTAAAAAAACTGGAATCCTCCAGGATTAGGAGCCCTGAACCTTGTGCACCTTGTTAGTTTCACAGCAGATCCGCCCCTGGAAAGTACAGTAGTATCCTGTATACACATAATCAGATACAAACCCTGGATAATTTTGACTTTTTTTGCAGATGACCTTTGCAAAGTCTTGACAAGTCATGATGAGAATTGCTTCATCAGCACCATGCTAAAATATGAACTGTAAGGAAGCAAAAATACCGTAGGTGCTTCTTGGTAAAATGTTGATGAGATATGAGTCTTCTGTTACATTTTCCTCACTTAACTGCTTTTGGACAATTCACTTTTATGATAATTCATAGAAAGTGAAACTGTTATCTGCTGCCAAAGTAGCTGGCTTCCTGTCTTTGGGGCAAACCAAAATGTTTCCATCACTTTCCTTGTACAGTGGGGTCTTGACTTGAGAACTTAATCCGTATTGGAAGGTGGTTCTCAAGTCAAAAAGTTCTCAAGTCAAATCTGCATTTCCCATAGGAATGCATTGAGAACCATTTGATCCGTATCTGCTCTTTTCCGTCCATAGAAACTAATGGGAAGCTGCTATTCCGCCTTCGACCACTAGAGGGGGATATTTTGTTTCTTTTTTTCTTAGGTCAAGAAAGGTTCAGGGAAGGCAGGGAAAATACAGTCCAGGCAGTACAGGAGCAGGCAGTCTGAAGACTGTCTCCCAATCCACTCTCTAAACGCTGGGAGGAGTGAGGAAGCAGACAGGCACCCTTTTCACTGGCCAACAGTTAACTGAAAGTTCACATTTTGCACTTTCCCTGCCTCCCACGTGGTTTTTTTCAGTTCTTAACTCAAATCTAAGTACTTAAGTCAAGTCAATATTTTCCTATGAGAGTGGTTCTTAAGTCAAAATGTTCTTAACTCAAGCCGTTCTTAAGTCAAGACCCCACTGTAATCTCTGTCTTGGCTGCTGACAACAGTTCTGGGTCAGGCTAATGGACTTGGATCATTCTGGGGTGGCTGAGAGGGAACATAAAGTGCTCAATAGCTGCAAAGAAATTTTATTGCCTTCTTCTCCTTTGGGCAGCTCTGGTGCTTCTGCTGCTGATCAGATGGTATCTCTTAAAGACACCGGCTGCATGGGAAGCAGATAATTCTGAAAACCCAATCTGGAGAAAGAAGATGCATTGAATGGGGGGGAAAGCACTTCATGGGACACATGGAGCAGACGCCCCCCCCAAAGAGTCCAGCTTTCACTGCACTGTAGCCCTCGCTTAGAAACAGTCACCATAGTCAGCATGGCACTCTGAAAACTACATTTCAAGCTTTTATTGTGGTTGCTCCTTCCACTATGGGTGCTGCTTTCAAATTTCTCTGGTCTTGATACCAGCTTGCCATTTTCTGGATGAATTTGCCACAGTTAGTATGCAAATATGTTTAATTACCTGTTTTGATGGAATGGACCATCAGCCAGACAACTTGCCACATATACTTCTTGTCTATCTGCTTTACAACTGTATCATTGAAATAGAACCTTTTGAGATGACCAGATGTTGATTATGCATTTGCACACTTCTTTCACACAGTGCTCCTTAACCTGTTGGATTTGCATAACATGGATGACTTTTGAAAACAAGACTTTGAGCACAAGCAGCAGTGGTATTCAAATGGTGTTCCTGCCAGTGATTATCCAGTATTCTTTGATCAATTTTCCTTCCATGAAGTGCCTAGGCTGAGTGAAATATTGGGTGTATTGTAATGACCTCTCTTGTGGAGGTCCAGCAGGCACAGCTGAAACTGGCCACAGGAACTGAATGCATTCTCTATATTGCCCTTCAGAATCCTGTTGTCACTGATTCCTAAGCAGACAAATCAATGGAGAACAGGTTTACTGAAGATAAGAAGTCTGACATCTATTACCTGGTAAAATATAAACCGTCAGTGATACACAGTTTGCCCTCTTCTACCCAATCCAGCAGAACATGAAGGTGGCCATATCTTGAGATGGTGAAATGGAGCTTTATTGCTTCAGACTGCTGGGGGAGGGAGAGGGATAACATTTTTTAATATTGGCCAACCTACAGAAATTCGTAGAAGTAAAATTAAAACCAATCTGGACAGCAGAAAAGTGTCTCTCATTCAGTCCTGAAATATGCTTCAGTTTCCTTGTAAGTTTTAACTCTTCTTTCCTGTTGGTGAACTCACATCCTCTGGGTCTAAAATAAAAATTGATACTACCTACATGGATAAATGCATCTCAGTTAAGAAAATATCATATACCTATTTCATCAACTAAGCACTTAAAAGGGGGGGGGGGACAGCAGTGAGCACAGCAGTTGAGCCAGTGTGCTTATTTCTCCCCCTTTAGGCCAAGGCTCCTGACTTCTGCCCCTCCCAGCTCTCCACTTCCCTACCATCTGGCCACTTTACACCTATTTGTGCTGCAGTTTGCTTTATGGTAGCTTATGTCATTATATAAATATTGTCAATTGCTATAAAACAAGGCACAACCACTGGAAAAATGTCATTAAAAGGATGTTTCCAAGTTTCCTAATAGGAAACATCTTGAGGAAGTTTTTATTTTACACGGCTGGCAGCCCTGAGCTCATGGGTGAAGTGCCTGCTCATAGAGTCATCCAAGTTTGCTACGCAGGGGCAGTGGGTGATTTGCATTCATGGAAACAAACAACTTCACCATCGCTTGTGATCTGAAATGGAAGCCAAAGCCCATCCTCCAGCTTTAAAAAAAAGTGCAGAAAGCTGTTCTAGGGGATGTTAAAAGGACATGCCATCTTCATTCCAAGTACTTGATCAGTCCCAAACCATACCAGTATGACATTAACGTAACAAACAAAGGGATTTTCTTGTCCGATTGTTCTATATAAGCACTAGCAAGAGTTTTGTTCAATGATAATTTTTTGCTTCTTCCATGCAGCAATTAATATACAAATCTTGGTCAATTCAGTCACTGCAAGTAGAACAAGCTTACAGTCATGTTTCCAGCTCAAATGCTATGCTAATACTGGAAGTGCTGTTTGGGTCTTACACTGAGGTATTAACAACCACTACGGAGACACACAAGTTCAGAGAAGTGCAATTTCATTGCTTCCTTCAGACTGCATCCCTCCAAGGCACAGGTGGCAAAGTTGTTCTATGGTGCCATCTTAGGGGAGAGCTAGTATAGACTCTGCCAAGTATATAATGTTTGCAGAAGGTTTAGTTGGTGTTTAGACAGCAACTGCTACCACTTAACATTGTGATACTTTTACATTCTGCTTAAAGGTAAGAAAAGGGGGGGGGAGTCCAGTTTCTCTCAGAGAAGAGCCATATCCACAAATAAATCATTGGGAGACATCCTAGAGAGCATGAGTATTAATTCATATTCAATTCTTTCTTTAAGTTATCCATAATTAAGTGGTGGTGGTAAGATTTTCAAGCATATGGGTGAGTAAATATTCATTATTTCAGCAGCTCTATAAATACATTTTTTTTTCTTTCACAATGCTCAAACTTTTCTTCCTCAAACTGAGCAAATGAGAGTTTGGGACTGCATTTCCCGAATGGTACAGAACACCTCTTTCATCTCCTAATCACTGTGGATAAGTAGCATTGTCATAGGTTAAAATTAAGCTGTCTTTCATAGGCTTCTTTTGAAAACCTGACCCAGTTATTTAGATGCTGCATGTGAGATACTCAGGCTGTTTGCTGACAAGGTAGTTGCTCCTCCAGGAATCTGTTTCAAGCTGACATCCTTACCTGCCATTCTTCCTACCAGTAACAACTTGATTCAGTCTCCAGGGGGCTGTGGATGTCTCATTCAGAGGGCAATGTCATTGTCACCGTTGTTGTTGTAATGACAGATTTTTTAATCTTGTGTTTTGGAATTAATTGTTAGCAGACTTAAGGCAGTTGGTCATTCTCCTGTTCAGTGCGAGAGAGAAGGGAAGCCAAAGGGGTTGATGAAAACTAGTAACTGATCTAATATTTGTTACTATGGTGAGCAGGGCCCCACATAGAGCCCTCTTCTCTAAACCTGTTTTCTCACAAACCTTTGTGTATTATGAGGTGCAAAACTGGCATGTCTCAGAGAAGTTACCAGTCCCTCCTTTGCCCTCCCCAGCCTTTTACACATAAGTTGTAAAGTGGGTGTTTGCCAGTGTGTCCCTTCTCCCACCCCACTGGCTCCAAGTTCTACACAGAACAACGTGCGTAGTGTCTCTCGTCTCGTCTCCAGTCCTCCCTCTAGGCTTTCTTGCACTTCCCTTTCTTTTCCCTTTGTTGGAACTTCCTCAGTCGCCTAGCCCATGTGTCCCTCCACTGTATCACAAGGCTGCTTTTGTCTGCTACAATGCCGTTCTGGTCAGGAGAGTCTTCATCGTGGCCCAGTAGCAAGTATTTCTTCATGGGTTTGATTTTCGGGCACTTGCAAGCAATATCCTTAGAGCGTATCCAGAGGATCTGATCTCCACGCCGTATCCGATTTGTCCCTTGCTTGTATACAGAGATGATGTTGACTGTGAACTTCCACCATTCTCCAGCCTTGTCTGCTTTCAGGATGTGAATCTGGACAGCTGGGAACAAAAAGTCAAGGAAAGGAGCTATCATTTTATTTCATTTCTCATCCCAATAACGGAGCACAAGGTGCAATGATCCTGTCTGTACCAAGGTTTAACACTTGTTATCTAGGAATATAATAGACCTTATACCTTGTGTTGTTGGAATAGTTTCCAGACTCTTGAGTCATGGCAGAGGCCTATCAATTGGCTTGCCCCTAAAACCACCAGTTTATTGATCCAATGTCCAAATGCTCTGCATAAAAATGTCTTATGTCCTAGTTCAACAGAGCAGTACAACAGAAGCAATCTCCCTACTTAATAGGAAAAGGAGCAATGCATCACATCACCCTAGGATTGCCACATGGGAGGCCCATTTATTCATTTTTTATTTTGTTTTCAGACTTATTTATATTTATTTAATTTATTCAGTTTTTATCCTGCTCTCACGAGTGTCATAGCACCACTCTGAGCAGGTTACAATCTCAAAAAATACAAAACACAAATGAAAATAGAAATATTAGACTTGCCATCTTTTGGAATCCAAAGGTAGTAAACCATACATATGCCTCTTTAATGCACCAAAGACTGAGAGTGATACAACTATTAAGAGATCACTGAAAGAACAGGACTTTCAAAGACTTAGGAAATAATTTTAAAGCCATTGAAATGTTGATAGAATGAAATTATTTTGTTGCCTGGTTAATTATGAGATCATTGTCGAAAGAGAAAATTCAGGATGGTCATTTGGTGGGATCTGGTATTGCTCAGATGTGAAATAATGTTTGCTATACATTTAGCTTTGTGATTTGAAAAAAGGCGATATTAATAATTAAAGAGGACGTGTGGGGGGGGAGCTTGTTCTGGTTTTCTGAGTGTTCTAAGAGTGGGCTTATGGTTTGGGTCATGTTCTAACCCTTGCTTAAACTCTCAACCCTCTCTTCTCTGGTTACTTCGTTCTTTGCCTGCCATCTGGCTACTACAGCCAAATAGCAATTAGAAGGAATTTTTTCTGTGTCTTCCCACTGTGATGACAGGGACCTGCCCAATTCTCCTGTCTTGCTGGGCATTGGGACCTCTGTGGGTTGTGCTTGGGTCCCACATTCCAAGCCGAACTATGATGGTAACGGTTTCCATGTTTCCCTTACCTAGGGATTTGAAACTCAATGTGCACTTAAATTTCATTTTTTTTTTAATGTTCAGGAAATCAGGGTCTTGTTTGGCTGAAATCATGAAAGGTGACCATGGTAACAAAAGGCATTCTTTTCATTTTGAGCAGAGAGTTAAGGAAGGAAACAAAACCCATCCAGAACTTTGCCCCACTGTTTGATTTTCTGGCATACAGTGCAGCCAGTGTGTGAAAATAATCTTGCTGCACTGCATTTGCACAAAGTAGAGGCTTTACCTTTTAACCATGTGCAGCCCATAGAAATGCAAGGCTTTTCAGACTAGTTTAGATAAATAAACCATCCTATCTACCAGGTCCATTACAAATCTAGAATTGTTGGCTCTCATAGACTACCTGTACCACCTTTCATTGGTGAGACATTGATGGTAAGGAAAACATCCCAGTCTAGACTCCTAGCATGAATATTGAGTATAAGCCTTTCACAGTTCCGTGTAAAACTGAGTTGGCAGAGCCTTTAGTTATGGATCTAGAAGTAGAAATTCAAATCCCCTCTGCAGCTTGATATCTTTGGACATTGGCAATAGCTCAGTAGTGAAAATCATGCTTTGCATGTAGAAGGTCCTAGGTCCATTTCCACAAGTAGCCCTGGGAAAGACATCAGCTCCAAACTTTGAAGAACTCCCACCTGCCGCTGTCATTCATACCGAGCTAGAAGGATGGGCTCAAGCATCTGACTCAATAAATGGCAGCAATTTATCTTGCTACTGTTCTTCATAAAATGTGGCTTAGTTTTTTAGAAGTACTGTAGTAGTAGTTTTTCATGGAGGGAGGCAATGCAAACTCAGTAGGCTAAAATGATACTCTTGACAAATCAGCTTAGGAAGCTTTGGACACTGATTGTTCCTCCGGTCATAGAGTGTCCCGGATAATTACAGTTTTATTTCTGGAAAGACTCTGACTGTACCTCAGGTTGCTGGTCCTATACTAGGAAGCTTTATTGTTCAAAGTTTGGAAGCTGGGTCTGTGAAGTCTTGAGAACAGTCCTTCCCCCCCCTTCCCCCCTTCCCCTTGAAATGAAGGGGGAAGAAAACTCTAGTAAATCTAGTAAATTGTAGTAGACTCTGCACTGGAGTACACAGACATTCCTCCAGCTGCTGGCATACCTTCCCACTGCCTGCTGCCAGACTAAAAAGAGATCAAACCAGCATTTGCCTAAAGGAAAGCACTGACAAGCCAGCTGCTTAACAGGGTTGGTAACCTTTCACAGCAGGGAAGAAGGGAAAATTCTACCAGAGGCAACATCTCTGTTTCATTCATTGCTGAGCTTGTGCTGTGAGCCACAAAGCCCCCCTCCTAGTCAAATGATCACAAGCAAAGTGGATTAGCCTGAGCCCTGGCATCAAGAAAACCACCACGATGGGCAAAATGATTGGGCTTGGTAGCTAGGGGCAAGCGGATGAAGCAAGCAGCAGGTGCCCCGTAAGCAGCTCTTATATTCTAGCAATACACCCCCTGAGGAGGAGAACAAAATCAAATGAATCACAGCTTTCACACTGAGCTTGTTGCCGCCTGGGCCCCTGATGACACTAGTTTCCGACATGGTGTGGCATGTGTCCAGCTCTTGGCTAAAAATATCTTAGGCATGCAAAACTCAGAGTTTGTGAGCAGAGGAGGACAGAGGTCCCAAGGCTGGCATTGGGCTTATTGTCCTTACTGCACAATTAAAACAACCAGTAGTGCTAGTGTTTGTAAACTTTTATCTAATACTAGTAGGGAAGAGAAGGCCAAATCAGCAACGGCAAGAGTTACCATTTTTGGAAATGAGTTTCTAAAAGCAACCATTACTCAGGCCAAAGCCCACTTACTTCTGGGACATGGTTGGTTGATGGGGAATAGGCAGACATCACAGAACTATTTTAGGTAGAAATGTGCGGTGCAGGAAAGGGGTTTCCTAAGAAAGTGCTGCATCACTAAAGGAACAGAAAAGAAAATCCTTTCCACCAAGTTCTTGCTTATCATCCTGGGGCTACTGGGTTGACATTGGCTCTACCAAACGTGGTTTCCTCATGAGACTTTTGATTGAGGTGTGGAGGGTAAATACATATTCTTTGGGACACAATCCCTTTTGGGGGCAAAGCTTTATTTTTCTCAGTGTGCCACTAACCAGCCGCCAGATGGCAATATGGCTCTTTAGGCAATTGAAGAAGTACAGCACTACATTAAGTCACAGTTTGAGGCAAGATGCAAAATACTCTTAATAAATTGTGCAATTTGCTGCTCAGGTGTAAGATTCAGTGAACTCAAAGGATCTTACTGGCAGACGCTCCAGGACTGCATTGCAAATCTCTTGCATCTCCTCCACAATGCCACACAATCTGCAAGTATTTAAAATACAAATTGGGGGAAGGTTCTTAGCCATATTCCCATATTGAAATCTGGAACAGGCCAAACCCGATGGAAATTTCATCCTCTCTAACAATTTGTATTTCAGATATACAGCAAAGTCCTTCACAATAGTAGCAGGAAGGAATATCATTTAGATAAAAAAATATTTGAGCTTGATTATCTTGTCTCAGAGACTTAGCTGCAGGATGAGCCCTCCGTATCAAATTCTAGGAACTCTGCTTTACCATGCTAAATTAAAATCTGCTAAACAGAGAAAATTGACTTGGGAAATCTCCTTTCTGACCTCTCCAAAACATGTGCAAAACAAATGTGTTTGATACAGTTTCTAGTTCTTTTAAACTAAGCTTAGGTCAGGTCATTCCAGTTTCAACTATCTCTGGAGTAAAGTTTATCAATATTTTTTAAAAAATGAAAACGAGCTAGACGGCTTATGGGGGTTTACCTGTTTTGTTTAAGTTTAATATTGAAGATTTATGAGATTTAATCTCGTATTTTTGCAAAGAGTGTGACCCATGCAGTCACTTTCCTTCTTTGCATGGTTTAATTCATTTCTCCCCAACCAGTTTTATGGCTATGAAGCACAACATAATTTTTCTTTGTCACATAGATATTGATTCTCCACATGACATATGGATGTAGTTACGCCCAGGAACCTGTAGTAATTGACAGCCATACTGGGAATCTCTTCCCAAAGGTTAGAAATATAGTTGCACCATATTAATATGTTGGGACAAACCATTACTGGAACAGCATGTGCTTCCTTTCTCTCCACAGCTCTATGCTCAGGTGTTTGGGGTTTCCATGTGGAATAGGTAAAGGTGAAGGTTCCCCTTCACATTTAGTCCAGTCGTGTCCAACTCTAGGGGGCAGTGCTCATCCACGTCTCCAAGCCGTAGAGCCAGCATTTGTCCATAGACAAGTTTCTGTGGTCACGTGGACAGCGCGACTAGACACGGAACGCTGTTACCTTCCCACCAAGGTGGTACCCATTTATCTACTCGCATTTACATGCTTTCGAACTGCTAGGTTGGCAGGAGCTGGGACAAGCGACGGCAGCTCACTCCGCCGCACGGATTTGATCTTACAACTGCTGGTCTTCTGACCTTGCAGTACAGAAGCTTCTGTGGTTTAACCTGCAGCGCCACCACATTCCTGTGGAAATTATTCTATGTGGAATACTTTTCAGTAAAGATCTTTTGAAAGCATATTTTTCCCATGTGCTCCTGCCAAGGTGCCTTTCAACAAAGAGAATGACTAACCAGAGTATCCATGAAGGAAAGATTTTCCAAAGAAAGCGGCTATACCATGCATCATGATCGCACCTTCTGGGATAGAATAGAAGGCACCCCTATACACTCACCCAAGCTCCTTAACAGATATACTGACTGATGGGGAGACCGTAGCTATTGCTAGGTTCCCCTCAAGTCAATGATGGATTGTACTGAGTTGTCTCTGTTCAGAAGTTGGTGTGGCTTATTTATGC